CATCTTCTTCTAACCACCGATATAGAGATTGACCAATTAGCACCAACGTCAATTTCCCTTACTTCCTAAACGAAGGCTTTCCTCGACGAATCCGACAATCTCGTGTCCCTAGACACACCCCATTATAGTTTTCCTCGGTGGCATCATCAGGACGGGAGAGGCATTCCTTTTTGCGCCCCCGTCACTAAAGAGTAACGTCTTTACGCTCAGTAATTATTTTACGAGTCAGATTCAGCGAGAGCGCCCGTCTGTCATCCCGTCGACCGCGGATTCGTTATAGAACCTAGGGCCACTGTCACTAGTGTCGCGGACGTCTCACCGCCGTGGTAGATTGTCAAACCTGTGTTATCCATACCTGTGTCAATAAATCGTATCTTCGTACACCGCAACGATGGCTACCTTCAATGAAAACTCCTCAAACACCGGCAACCCTATCCCCGACGCTACTCCGACATATATATATATAAACAACGAAAAATCTCACATTCCTATCCAATCCAGCAACGCTAATACATACATATATATATTATATATATATATATATATATGTATATATATATATATATATATATATGTATATATATATATATATATATATATATATATATATATATATATATATATATATATATATATATATATATATATATATATATATATATATATATATATATATATATATATATATATATATATATATATATATATATATATATATATATATATATATATATATATATATATATATATATATATATATATATATATATATATATATATATATATATATATATATATATATATATATATATATATATATATATATATATATATATATATATATATATATATATATATATATATATATATATATATATATATATATATATATATATATATATATATATATATATATATATATATATATATATATATATATATATATATATATATATATATATATATATATATATATATATATATATATATATATATGTATATATATATATATATATATATATATATATATATATACATACGCTTTAACGTTCATACTAATCTGTACGCTTTAGTCGATTTGTAATAACGTTATTTAAATTTGACCAAAATTTGTACAAATTGATGATGATTAATTAGAAGTAGAATTTATTAACTTTGTATGAAACGAGCAGACTGTAAAAAAATTTGAGCAGATAGAGTACATTTCAACTGTGATATTTAAAAATTTTCAAATGAGATTGTAAGCATACAAGCAATATTCCGATTAATCTAATATCATAATCATTAACATGGTTATTATCTTGCTTGTGAAAGTCATGTTGAAATATGTTTCCCTTTTGATAGGTGCAAGTAAGGCAATAAAGTGAATTTAGTTATTGAGATTTCATACGCGTACATACATAGATGGCCACGTATCGACCATAAATTCTTGAAATGAAAAATATTCGGAACATTTTCCAACGGCGTAGATCATATTCTCGATCAAAACACTCGATTGTATTCGTTGAATACACCCGTGTACAATACCGTGAAAATCACGTACATTGCTGCACCTTATTTTCATGTTCCGTCGAGCAAACGGAAATGTTCATCAAACAAGTCTCCAACTAGTGTTATTAAATGTCATTCATTTCAGTCTGTAACCTTTTGCATAATTGCTTCGTTTTCAACTCTAATTGCAAAATATTTTTCGAAAGTTCTCTCGACAAAAAGAAGCAATTATCTCGTTGTAATTTAGTAAAGCTGCAAATTCATAAGGCAGTCGTTTGCAACAAATTACATAATAACGAACTCCCAGTTGTAGAAAAACGAACCTTTTTATCTCCCACATTTAATTCCGCATCGAATATCGTCCCTCCTATAGAAAGAACTACGACAGCAATTCACGGAAATATTCGAATACTCATCACAGACAATTTTTATGATTATATTATGTGCGTTATACGAAACATTCCGCAATTTCATTGGTACTGTGATGAGGTACGCCTGTGATTATATTCAATTACATTATTGAAATTTGAAACCAATCTGAAAATTTATGCAGAAGATATAAAACATTCCTTGCAAAATACACGTAGTAAAAGATTATTGTAGAATAATGATCATGAACATATAATTAACGTCAAAAACGATCTCACTAAATATTGTGACTTACTGATATATTAAACAATTGAATGTCGAAATAGTTCAGTGATTTTGCAAAGTATATGCAATAAATATCTTGTAACTTTTATATAGACTTTCAGATTCATAACTTAGTATTCATTATTTAATTCATAAATTAATTAATTAATGTAATGATGATCTTGTCTCTATATATACATTGAATGTCTCATTTTAATCGATCACAAAATCTAAACTGTACATTATTTGAAAAAAGAGTTTCAGATAGAACTTGTCCTATTTCGAGAGGGACATCTGGCGATGGTCGCAGATCTTATCTAGGTGGATGCACCTTCGAGACTTCAAGGTAGTCTTTGTTTTTCTAAATAGTACAATACATTTTTTAGACGCCAGTCGATGCAGTTTTTTATTCCCTACAGAAGAGTATATAGGTACTTGATTCAAAAATTCATTAGTTTAAAAGTTATCTGAACTTTGCAAGGAAATTTGTATTAGTTTTTATTCAGTAATAATATGTGGAGGATTGGTCGTTGTTAGGTTGAGCGAAATAACAAGAGCAAAATATTGCTGTCGCAGTCCGTCAAATATATTTTGAATAAATAAATAAATGAATTATTTACAGACGAATTTGTGAGTTGTTGGTACAAATACAAGTCGCGGAATAAATACTCAATAAATACTCGGAGAAACCCTGTAGATTCACTTCGATACTCGTTTATACTCGTTGATGCTCTTCGATACTGTTCGAAAACTCCTCTGCTCGCTTTTTTAGACTGGTCGGGGGAGAACCGGAAAATTCGAATTCGTCTACGTTTGACGGTTGTATGTAGCGGCAACATTGTTTTGCCCGGAGTTTATTTGTTCTTACATTACTTGTAACCTAACGGTCTTAATACTCCGAGGCAAAACAACAACAAGATTTGAATTGTCCTCTGACTCGTGTGCCGCTACATCACCCCCCCCCCTTCCAGTGATAACGTTTTTATTGGGTTAAACTTTTAAAATATCTACAGAACCCCTTCCAGTGATAACATTTTTATTGAGTTAAGCTTTTAAAATATCTACAGAGTTTCTCTTTGTCATCGTTATTTTTTTATTATCGATATACTCCATCCGACAATCTACAACGCCTAACCGAAGCCTGCCAGGATCCAATCGGAAAAACGGACTCTACGTCCGGACCGCGTAACATACTTATTCCTGGTGTTTTCTTCCGCGATCGCTGCTTGCGCTGTTTTCGTCGTGCGCGTTTGCTTGCTTTGCCGGAATTAATATGTTACGAGATTCGGCGGTCTTTTCTTCTAGATCGTCCGGAACCACAAACGCCGGGCTTAAATGATCTACGGAAACCGTTACGTCGCTTCTGTTCGCAGGTCCATGTACCTTATTACGCGGATAGACGCACGTGTCCGCACCAGTGTCTATTAAATAAGCGACATTCGTTCGCTGGTCCCGAATAAAACTGCGAGGATCGACGTTCACGGTTCGTACGGTAATAGGAAAGACCATCTGGGGATCTCGAACTATGGCGATATGTCCCCGGTGAGTATGAACGTGCTCGTCCACGGCAGTCAATGCTCAGTGCGTTGATTTTCGCGTAAAGTTGCTTCATTTCTTCGCGAATTGCGCTGATAATGGTGGCAGTGGCATCGGTCTCTCGGACGTTTAGTACCTATGTCCTAGAGGGTGAAATGCCGGACGTGCTCTGATAATTTCCACTACTGACTTCCTCTATCCTATCCGCGACCTGAATTAGTTTTTCAACTGCTAGGTCCTGTATCACCGACAAAACGCGCCATATGCGATCGGGTAGCCGGTTTTTCCAGATTGTGAAAACAAACTGCTCCGGCACGAAGCGACCTGCGAGAATCTTCAGATCGTTGTAGAATTCGGACGGCTTCCTGTCTCCCATAATTTCGATTTCTAGCCGAATTCTTGCCCGTTGGCTTTCGGACTCCACCAAACTCCGTATTAACTCGTTTTTTAGCCGAATATATTGCCCGACGTCTGGGGGATTCAATATGATGTCCTCTACTTCTTCTAAATGCTCTAGTTCGAGGCACCCTAGCAGGGCGTTGGCTTTTTCTTTGTCATCCTTGATGCCAGCAGCCGCGAGCTGTCTCTCGAATAAAGTGAACCAGAACTCGATCTTCTGCACCTTCAGCGGTGGCACGCGGATAGTGTGAATAGTCGGAACCGTAGTGTTCTTGCTCGACATCGTTAACGCGTTCAGACTCACGACTCAGACAGGTCGTTGTTAGGTTGAGCGAAATAACGAGAGCTGTCGCAGTCTGTTAAATATATTTTGAATAAATAAATTATTTACAGACGAATTTGTGAGTCGTTGGTACACATACAAGTCGCGGAATAAATACTCGATAAATACTCGGAGAAACTCTGTAGATTCACTTCGATACTCGTTGATGCTCTTCGATACTGTTCGAAAACTCCTCTGCTCGTGATCGCGCCCGTTTATTTATACTGGTCGGGGGAGAACCGGAAAATTCGAATTCGTCTACGTTTGACGGTTGTATGTAACAGCAACATTGTTTTGCCCGGAGCTTATTTGTTCTTACATTACTTGTAACCTAACGGTCTTGATACTCCGAGGCAAAACAACATCAGGACTTGAACCTCTGACTCGTGTGCCGCTACAAATACTAATATACAGGGTGGTTGGTAACTGGTGGTACAAGCGGAAAGAAGGTGATTCTACGCGAAAAGAGAAGTCGAAAATACACTAATAATTTAGTAAAATATCATGGGCAGAAGTTTATCAAGTTATGTTAAGGAAAAATGCATTATTTGCTTTATTCGCGCACAACAGCTATACATATATATTACACTCTGAAGACCTCAATAACCGTCTTACATGCACGCTTGTTGTCAACAGACTATTCTAGATTCTTCTAACAGCTACCAACCGTTTTTTGTCTCAACTGAGACCTGGACGTCCTCTGACGCTTACACACACATTCACATGTACAGTGTAAATGTATCATCTACCTAACAGAATGTAATTTTTTGTACGATTGATTACAATTTTATACAATTGATTAGATTTAACAAAAAATCATCGTTCTACGTTAATTTAAAAAACTACTGCTGAGGTAATGTAGGTGCCAGCTGTTTTAAGGTGCATTTTCAATTTCAGACTCCGCCGTCCTACCTACGTCCTTCTAATACTAGAATTTTATAATTCTTATTAAAGCACAATCAATTGAAATTTTGTTCTGTAAATTCATATTTCTTTCTATAACCTTTTTTTCGCATCTTTATGTCTTTGAACAATGACGCTTAATTTCTCACGAGTTTCAAACACATTCATCTCATTTCTAATAACCTTCCATTACCTTGCTTCATTTTCTACCTGCAACAACAAGTTCGATTCGGCGTCTCCGTTAGATCCAATTAACACGGGTGATAAAGTAATTTACCCACTAATCTTTCCGAACAAACTCAATTTTACGACAGGGGCTTCATATCTGTTCAAATAATGAAAATTAATTTTTATGAAATTTCATAATATATATTTTGTACTGTATGTTGCACTAAAAAGTTTCTGCAAATATTCAAATACTTTCGTGAGCCACTGTACTGAGCTCTGTTGTTCGTTTCTTTGTTTGAATGTGCTTCTTAATTTTGGTAACTTTTATACACGATTTATCACTTCGCAAAGCACACACTTGGCGACTATGCAAAATTGACATTTCACTGTGACCACTTTTCGTTAAACGACTCGTATCGACAAAAAGTCGAGTGTCTTCAGGCTGTTAAAACGTTTTGCTTTTTCTCGATAGTCGTCGCCGAAGTGAAAGAGCAGATAAAGCAAGCAAGTCTGTACGTCGCTTCCGGGCGAGCGCCAGGTTGGTAGTAAAACGGACTGGTGGAGGAACTTCGACAAATCCACAGCAAAATTCTGCGTGCCCTAATAGAATCTGCGGTTTAATTCGCGTGTAAAAGCCGATTTTCCATGGACCGCGTATTTTACAGTTTCAAAATAGTTTCAGAAATCCTATTACGTCGATTACGTCACACACAATTCTCCTGCGATAGGAAGTTCGATTGTAAGAGATAATTCTTTTTTTCACGAAACGATTATTAAACACAATGCGCGTGTAAAGTGGACTCGTAAAGTTCTATTTTCCTACCTGAAATTCCATTTATTCCGACGTTCAATTTAAATATTATAGGCTCCATGTTTTGTTTTATGAATGAAATGAAGTTTTTGAAGGATTGTTTCAGATTTTATACCAAATATGATGAAATGGCTTTGTGCAATATTGCAGTGACCAATGTGACCGTTACTACATCACGTTTGGAAGGTTGAACACGAAACGTAATTATAAGATTATTTGTTTCAATTCGGAAAAATCAGTGAGATAGATTTATGGGATATGCGACAACGATTTCCTTTTTCTTTCTTAATCTCTCCATCGTATCGTTATTTTTGAAAAGTTAATCAGATAGAAAAAGTATTCGAACGTACGAGCTTGAATATATATATATTCATATATAATCGCACGTTCGAACACTTTTATATATACAGGGTGGTTGGTAACTGGTGGTACAAGCGGAAAGGGGGTGATTCTAAGCGAAAAAAGAAGTCGAAAATATAGAATAAAAATTTTTTTTTTTAATCTTTCCATCGAGACAACGATCTACAGTGAGATCCGTTATAACGTACCTCACGCGTACCGAGCGAAAATTCAAAGTCGATTTTCTCGAATATAAAGCCTCAAACGAAAAATTTTTATTCTATATTTTCCACTTCTTTTTTCGCGTAGAATCATCCCCTTTCCGCTTGTACCAACAGTTACCAACCACCCTGTATATAGATTGATATATAAGATCAAATTTGGCTTATAAAAATAGATCGGTAAAATACGAACATACGGATTATTAGTATTAATAAATTTTCTTGCGTAATTGTGACAAGGCTAACATTAAAATTCATTTGACGTAGAACTAGAAAACTGTAACAGTGAAGTTTATAAGATATTAAATATTTTTAAAGCACCGTACATATAAGTATTTCGTACTTATTCGATGAGAAATTTCAGACAAGACGAGCGCTCTTTGAAACCTTGAAAGTCTGCGAGTTCTTCCAGCCTTGGAACTTTCGATAGCCCCGGAAGTTCTCCAACTTTCGAAACCTATCAGAATGGTAGAGTTAAGTTGAAATTCCCACGATAAACGAGATTATTGTAGAAAAGTATGAATATTAGCAAAGATGAGGAAAATCGAGAAAGATAGTAATTTATACAAAATTCACGATTAAAGTGGATTTAAGAAGATGATAACGCGAAATGTAAAAATAGATTATTACGATATTAAATATCGTTTTGTGCATCAGGAGACGTTTTTATCGGGTAGCGATTTTAACAATAAACGCACAGCGTCTATAAACACGAAAAGAGACGATCGTACGCTAAGAAAATGCCATTAAGATCGATTTATCATTGTCTTAATTAGAACGATTAATCATGTCGGGTCGTTTATTCGATCGCAGCTTTAATTATCCCTCGTTAACATAAAGGTACTCTGTTCTGTTTCGTAATGTCAGCTCCGCCGGTATCCTGTACTTAATCGACATTCTCTAACGAAGTTTTAATTTTCACTCGCTCCTGTCGCTTTGACAGCTTTTCCGCGTCTCACCCTCGCCAATCAACGCTAACAATTTGACACTTAACAGGCAGAGGATCTTTGGCCGGTTTTGAGAGTGTAGGACATCCAAAGAAGAGAAAGAAGTTCTCAATTAGCGTGATTGAGCTTTCTCTAAATGTATTTAGTGTGGATACCGTCGAAAAGTTTCCAGTGAAATTACGAAAGGCCGCTGAAGATGCGAGACGTTCTCGTTCCGTGTGGTAATGAACTAACGATCGATTTCTCGATGACTCACGGAGATTCTTGTCTCGCTCATTCTAACGATATATTCTTTTGAGTGTTGTTCACAATCTCGCGAACTATTATTCCCTTTTTTTCAAATTTTCTATTCTTCCATTTCTTTTCTATCGAAGAACAGGGATTGAATGAAATAGAGAGCTTGAATAATTTAAATTTGAGGCACGTACAATCTCTAATTAATAGAAGAAGTACATATTAATCAAATTTTTATGAAATGCGTTAGAAGATCCCAGAATATCCCAGAATATCGTGTTTCGTGTTTGTTAACGCATATCGTATTCTGAAAATATCGCTAGAAGTTCGACATAAATAGCAAGAGAAAACGAATAGCTCGTGATTAAATGAACGACGCTGGGACCGGAAATACTACTGTGACAAAAAAAATTCTAATTGTAATAAATCCGACGTAATTTTCCTCCTTTGATATATAATTTTATTGTAAACCCAAGATTTTCTTCTTTTTGTTCATTTACAGTTTCTATATATATATATCGACGAAGATATCAAATCTTGCGTTCACCTTATCGAGATCAAAGATTCTCTGCGGTAGACAGTTAGCTCAACTAGTTGATTTAAGGTGTATGTATATATGTATAAATGTACTTCAAAATCAAGGATTTCGGTCGAAGTTCATCAGCAAGTACGTGAACCGCTCAACGAATCTGTTACAAGGAAGCAGAATTCAGGCTCCGTTTGATGTCTGCGCCTGAGGTCCAATCGCTTTAACTATTAATGAGGCCGCTACAGACGAGCCAGTTAATCGACTACAGGAATTTTCTAATCAAACACAACACCGCGGGCAAATCGGAGGAAATTGACCATTATCGTAACGTAACACCGATCTCGATACTATCGTCCTGTTTTATTTCTTCTAGAAGGGATAAACTATATATATGAATACAAATTGCTTTCAAAATTGAGTTTTCGATCAGTTATACCCAATGCGATTAATTATCTTTTATTTTGTCTCCTTATCAAATTTTTTCGAACAACATGCACGAGTCTGCTGTTTCCGGCGTGTTAATTGCCTAATTAAGATTAGGGTCCAGCGAGTTAGCGACCAAAGAAAGAGAGATAAATGGAGGACAGTGGATAGAAGATAAGGTAATGCCGTTGGCAGGAAAGCAAAAGTTCTCAGCCAGAAAAGCCAGAGTGGAGCAGCAAGTGGTCGTATTCTCAGGACTGGGGGCAACTTCCAAAGGACCTCCGAACTTCTTCGATCCGCCGAAACTCTACAGGAGTTACTGGAGTGTCCTCCGGGTCAGCCTGTTACCAGATCGTGGACTTTGTCGCAACACAATTTTCCTCTGAAATTTTCCGCGCGCATGGCGACATCGCTGTTTATCGTGACTTTGGAAACTATCAAGGAATACTTTCAAGCTCCCCTTCGAATAAGGGTCCTGATTATTTCCGCCTTTGTGTTTATCTCTTTCCTTCATCATTTCCCGTTCTTTCAAGTTTCGAGCATGATGAAATCCCATCAAGGGTAAAATGTTATCAGGTTACTGGTACAGATTAATTACTGTTAAGTACTGAAGGCATTCGAACGAATGTTTGCGTGTGTCGGGATTACTATAAAATATACGCGATATGGATAAATCGTGTAAAGACGAAGAGCGTAACGCGTTTGTCCAAGATTCTAATTAAGATCGAGCGATTGTTAGCAGCATCCATCAAGGACACAAGGTCGTTAGAGTTAGAGCAAATTTAATTAAATCTTACAATAAAATCGCCGGCTACGATGAAATCGAATTACTGTAGATTTTTCGCGCGATATCCTGAGATGGAGGCCGAATATTATCGGACTGGGCGCAAGAAGGAAGCGATGTGCTCCTTCAGAGATCTCTACTCAGCTTCTAGCATATCCGATCAATTTTCGACATTAAATAGTCGCCAGGCATCGACGTCAGATTCTCGGGGAGTTGCGGTGCAATCACCCCGACACCAGAGTACTCAACGGAGAGAAGTGTCTCTTCCGGAATCAAATTGTCGGGAATAGGCCCAAGCTCTCGACGATCTTACGGTAGTTCTCGAGCCACGATCATCGAACTTTCTACTCTCGCGAAACTTCAACCCCTCCACGGAGTTCTCCTGTCGTCAACCCTCTCCTCCTGCTCATCTGTCTTTCTCGTTCTATTTTACTCTCTCTCTCTCTCTCTCTCTCTCTCCCCCTTTCCCTCTCTCTCTCTCTCTCTCCCCCTCTCTCTCTACGATGCCATCTAACCAACGACACAGGCGATGCGGCGACCGTGCCATTCGAACTTTCTTTCCGCAGAATTGAATCGCCACCGAATCGGTTTGGCCCGGAAACATTGCGGGCGAAGCATCAGAAATTTCTGGATCTGGTGCATCCAACTTTTGGTTTATCCATCGCACCAAACCAAGGCCCTCGAAGATGGCGGATGCCACGGAATCGAATTTCGGACCATGAGGATCATTTCCCAAATAAACAACCTTCAGCGATATATGCGTGTTCGTAAAAGGAGAAAATGTTGAAAATTTTCAAAATTTGGACGAAAAATAAAAAGATACGTGAAATATCCATTTTGAAATTATTATTTACTTTCGTGAGTGCTTAAATAATATATCGTTTTTAAATTCCTAATGGAATTGAAGTCAGACTGATATGATATTCACATAATGCTAATAATACAAATAAAAATTGAGACAATCGTTAATATACGGTGATAGATTGAGATATTACGTACATGCTACTCTAATAAAAATTGTCTTTAAGACAAGCATCAAACATATAACAAATACAAAATATTAAAACATAATATTCAATATAAAAATTACAGTAACGCGCAAAACCATCCTGTGATTGTTTTGAGCAATGTATTTTACGTTTTGATTTAATATAGTATATCGATCTGACTATTATCGATAAGAATGGCTGTGAAATGTAATCTTCCTCTTGACTGTCACTTTTTTGCGACCGGGATACAGACTGATAGGAAGATAAGTACGCGTGATGAATTCTGCCTTGTTTCGAGAACAATGGTTGAGTGGTCTCAATATGATGTCCTTTTTCCCTTCGGCGATTATTCACCTTTTGTTGTTCGAGCTATGGGTTTTTCTCATACGTCACCAGGCTTCGGAAAAAGCGATTGATAGAAGAAGCTGGTTAATATAAGGGCAATAATTAGAGCGTGCATTCGCGTTGATTAATGGGTTGTACGTGACGTAACACATTCTGAATGTTTTGTACGTGTAGACAGAGCAAGAGGAAGTCCTATTTCAGCGTTAAACAAGCTTATTGTAAACAGTTTTCGTAACTGTAGAGAGCTAAAAATAAAGATGTTTCTTGACATTTTTTTAGATTTACAAAAGAAACGAACCGTTTCTGAAAAATAAAACTATAGAACTTTCTAAACATCGCGTCGCCAACGTTGCTAAAGTTTCTCGATTTTCTTCGACGCTTTCGTCCGATCTTTTCCCCCAAATTTCACGAACCAGCTGAATTTCATTGGTCGTTGCCTACCCAAGCATCCGATTCTTTTTCAGAGGAAACAGATCCTCGACTTTGCCCGAGGATCTTTTCCCTTCCAATCGTTCTTTCCCCTTTTACTTTACGATGCGCGATCTCCAGAAGCTTTGAACAATTCTATACTGACTTCGTCGCAATTTTTGCGAAGATTTATTTTAAAACAGGTACTTGTTCCAAGAGCTCACGACGATTTTATCCCTTTAAAGGCTTTTTCCGTTTAACGAATCAGTCTCTTGGTTCATTCATTTCTACTTTTATATATTCACGTTGTGACATCTCCAATTTTATCTGTTTTTTCAGAGTATTCTTTACACTTATGTGTAAGAAATACAAAATAATGTGTAATTATGTGTAAGTTACACAAAATGATATACCTGTCGATCAAACTATCTATCTCCCCCTATTGTCTACTCTATGTATTGTCATGCTTGCATTATGTTTATTGGCTTGAATTTTAGTCAGCTTTAGATATAACGCGATAAATCCCATGCATCACATGCGACGCAAAGTACAAAAATATGTGGATGATTCAACTATCGTGTATCTCATATGATTCAAAGAACAGTAAACGTCTAAATGATTAACAAAATACTTTATTAAGATTGTTGCCTCTTCCTAACTTCTTCATTCCACATACCAAACTTAATAGTTAATCATTTCTCCTATTTCCCGAAAGATTAATGCCGACAATAACTACGTCTAACGTAAGACAACGTTACAAACGCGGAAATAACCTTTCCTTTCCCATCGTACAATGATGCGTAGCACTAGCGAGAATAGGAGAGCGTAAAGTGCATTGCGTTTCGGCCTGGACTACTCCTTTCGACTTTGTGCAACGACGCCAGAGCAATTCGTAAGCTCTGCTCACCCGCGCGGATTATTTTTCTCATTTCCGTGCCAGGAAGTGGAATGCTTCAAATCTTTCGTCTATTTTCGCTCGTTGACGAAGCGCCGGCACTCGAAAGAACAGATTCATTCGGCGCACTCGAATTTCTGCTTGAAACGCTTTCATCCACCCTAGTAGAGGCATCACGGTGAAACGGAATGCTTCACCGGCTGGAAAAAAAATATCGCCCTCTAATTGCGTTACGAGCTCGTAATCTTCGGCAGTGTAACCAGAACGATCCACGATAATAGCATTATCAGAAGAAGAACGTTGTAAAACGAGCTCGTGTTCCATTAAAGATAACTTTTCGTTTAATTCCTCCTAATTCTTCGCGATAGTTTGTCAGGAAGCTAACCCCCGCTCCAGTCATTTTCAGCCACGTTTTCTTCTTTACTTCGCTCTTTCTGGTCCTAGCGTTCGCGAGGTTTAAAATGAAAAGCGCGTATCTCCGCCGTGTTTGTACACCAACGTAAAAGCAAATACGTGTATCGAGGATGATCAAAGTTTACTTCCGGATTCTTGGGTCGTTTGTACCACTTCTTCGACGAACTTTCGACACCTTCTACTCGAGAGACAATATTCCAGAGACGCTCGCGGAAGAAAACGACTCGGCGAGTTGTCACGGAGATGCGTTTCGAGGCAAACTTCGATTAAGATTCAGATGTCGATCCAATGGAGTAGTTCCGTGGCCAACGGGGAGCTGAGAACTGCTGAAACTGGATCATCCTCGGAATTAATGTAATCCTATCCTTTCCTCTTCCATTGATGACAATCTTCTAAGAAATAGCTGCGCTCTGCTTTCTCGTCGTCTTATTTCAATACATTTTCAAGCGAAGATCAGGATCCCTCGCGATCTTTGACCGTCACGTACTCGTGAAACGGCCCTAAAGAAACCCCCGAGTGTTCCTTTGGTGATGGAATTGTTGTTCTTCGCGGGACTCCTTCCCTGGCGAATACTTGGATCGTTTGACCGTTCCATCATTCCAAATCATCGTCTTCCTCTTTTCTTCTTATAAAATCGTCCCGATAGAACAAAATCTACATAAGGCAGTTCGTCATCGTCACCTATAAAGAAGTCTCGTGGTCTCGTCGCGAAAGAGAGGGAGCTGAATCGTGCAACGATTAAAATTCAGCCACCGATCCACGGGAAACATCTCGTTGGTCACTGGGGAATGAGAAGCCATCGAAGCAGGCATCGGATACCGACAGGTCGACTCTTTTCACCAACAGATAGTCGAGCGGCTACGAGAGCGATTCGTAGCCTCCGCTCGGCCGAAGCAAATGGAACGCGGCACAGGGCCTTTCCTGTAGGATCGATAGAGTAGTGGGGAGAGCCAGAGACTACAGGAGAGGGAGAGAGGAAAAGCGTGGGATCAACGCGATAGATTGGACAGAGAACGATATAGGGAGAACGGGAACGATGCTGGAAGAGAGCTGAAAGTGGGAAAGAACGATCAAGGGGGGAGAGGGAAAACGCGAGGGGTGAAACTAGAGGAATATAGGAGAACAGGTTGGGAGGGAATATTGGTGCAGGATCGGGCGAGATGAGGGCGCTTTAGCCGGCGGTTTCTACGTCGCGCCATCGTTGCTACGAGCGGCGTCGGCGTCGGCGTCGGCGTCGTAGTCGTGGCCGTCCTCGTTGCCGGCGAAAGCGGCACCAGACCGAACACGCAGCTGCCAAAGGCAGACTCCGCCGCTCGGTCCAGTTTGCCTTCCGCTCTCGTTTGGCATAGTACCGTCAGCGAGGTCGTCGCGTTTCATGCTGTCCGTCAGCGACTAGATATCGTAACCTCGTATCGTATCGTGTCGTGCCGTGTCGTATCGTCCTCGTTTCCGTTTTCTATTCCACCTAATCGGAGCCGGTCAAATGGATAGCTCGCGTAGAACTAATACGATCCGGAAACAATCTCGCGCTGGTGGATAATCGTGTGAAAGAAAGTTGTCGTTTTTTCGACAAGGGTGATTTTGTTCGAACTTGTTCCTTCTCTCATACCTAGTTGTTCGACGAAGGAATCAGCGTGGTTCGCGTGAGCTGCGGAATCTTTGAGGTTCATACACGTCAGTGGTTCCTGGTCAACGTGATTCATAAAGGTACAGGACTTCATTATAATAAGATTTTTTACTGTCGCGATCGCGGTCAACTTTCGCTGCAACGTGATTACTTTTGTCATAAATTATCTGTTTCTCTGTGTTACGACGTCTACTTTTTTTTAGGTTTTAGTCTTTCTTCGATAAAGGAAAAATGATGTTTCTTCTTTTATTGTTTCAACGTCATCGTTGCAAAAAATATCTACACGAAGGGCTCGCGAACTGAAGAACAATCGTCGCAGTAACGTATTGACGGATAAGAGGTTTTCTTTCTCGCGTGCATCGCGATTGCGAATCTATAGAACTCACCGGCTGATTCAGTATTTCTCAATTGCTTTCTGTCCCACATAGAATGGTTTACCTTGATTTTCGCGAAACCGGTGCGGCGGAAGTTTGTATTCCAAGTTTCCGTGCTGTCGCGGTATCTGCTTTCAGGTGTTTCGTTCCACCGCGATTGTTCTGAACATTGTAAAATATTTGTTTTGCAAATGAAAAGATTCTAATAAAGAGTGGTACGAAACGCGAGTCGAAATACGCCAGTCCACGAGTTTCTTATCGTGTGCTTCTTTTTTTATTTCGTTATCCGTTCGAAAAGTCGAACGAAAACATCAAAGTTGACACAACCTTCCGACGTATTTTACTAAAAGCTTCCCGTGTTCTGTGTGTACCGAAGAAAGCTGTCAGGGGCAAACATTTATATCCCACTGAGTAAATCCAACGCGGAGAATATGATGGATGGTGTACGATCCTACTAATCGAACGTTGATACACTGATCTGACGTCGTCTGACAATTCTAGCTGTCCACGCGATATACGATATATTTGAACACTTTTAATTGTCCCTGGAAGAAACCCTATCCATTCAACGAGACATCCTTGAACTAAAAATTGTCATTCTGTTATCTTCTCGATATATCGCTATGAATAAATCACATGAAGTATCCAAATGGATGGTTGAAATCCATTAGACTTTGCAAAAACTAAACGCAAGTAGGAAGAATCAGGATATCCATTATCAGGATATTATGCATTCTCGACGAACGATTCCAGCTGGCCGGTAAAAAGCGCGGCTTTAGATGGAAGTGGGATAAAAAAATTCTACTTTCTTCCCGCGTATAAGCCGGCACATATATATATACAGGCCAGTCACCAATGCTGGACTTATGGTTTTACAGGGCCGTTATGCATTTCAATGAATATTAACAGGATGCAATTATTGAACGTAAATTGGAACTGAAACAACTGCTGTTTTAACGTCCTATTCGTAACTTTTGCAGAATTTTCGAGCCGCCAATACTCCGCTCATTCGTACATATTCATTTCCGCATATAAATTCGCTTTGCAAATCCGTTTGTACGCTTTACCAACTACTTTCAGACTAACTTCGTGAGTCTCGACAGAATTTTCTAGATCGGCGACGAAGTTACCTCGTGGGGAATACACTCTCAAGCTGTTCTTTACAGCTGAACTTCCGTGCCTACGTGTCCCGAATGAGGAAATCCTTACTTCTTTACGGTCCTTCTAATTGTTCCCCTTTTACTCGGTGAATCTGCATCCGGCATTTCGGCGTTGTTCACCGAAAATTTAGCTGGATGAACGGCGGTTGTATTCAGAGATCGATTAATGTTCGTTCGTCGGATGTATTTGTCACGATTGTATTTTCCAATCAACAAGTATCAATTGAAGGGTTTATGAACGAAAATTTCGTGCGTTTATTTCCAAGATTAATGTTTTAACGTTCGACGAAATAATGTGGTAGTCGTTTGGCGTGCGATAATATACGTAACGTGGATCGAAGAAATAACTTGATAGATTTGCTTTGTTAATGGCTATATTATAAAAAATTTCGTAATTTAATACGAAAATGTCTCACCTATACAAGCTAGCTATAATTACTCGAACCCTGCTGTCGATAATGTTCGAACGAACTGTAAGAAATTACTTGGAAGTATCAATGATCCATTTTTACTTTATCGAACGTCACTTTCTACTTTCAGTTTTGCTTAATACCTAAAGAGTGTCGGTCGATTAGCCGCACCTGTCGGCTCCTATCTGAACGACAGTTTAAAGCCATCAACTCACAATTTCAATACATAATTTACCTGCATTTCAATGGGCTTATCATCGCAGCTGGCGCATTAACTGGCCAATCAGATTAATCATTCGATATCACGGATACACGGATATCAGTAAACCAGAGTTGATATTATTCAATTACAAACGTGCATGTGGTATTTAACTAAAAATCAAGAAAATGCTGGTCGATTAAACGGAATCGTGCCGTAAATTATGCGCATCATCATGGTGTCGAAAAGAGTTACAAGAAAAAGTGTTGTTCTTCAACATCAACTATGAGAAACCTTTTCGTCGAGTGAACGATAAGTCATTGTTTGGAGGATCTGTGATTCCTGTACAAATTGAAGAGAGCATCGGTCGAAACAAACGATGTTCAACTTTCAATCTCGCCGGCGTCCACGCGAAGGGAACTGCAACGATTTCGATGGCACAGAGGAGTGCGAATCAAACGCGGTCCTGGCCGAGCTTTAATGAATTTCACGCGCTATTGTGCTCGATAGTTTCGCCCGGTCTCGTTTCGGGGCGAGAGTTCATACCTTCCTGACCTCGATAATCGGAGTAATTTCGAGGCTGGAATGGAAATTGCCGCGTTTCGCTGCCGTTTATCGAGGAAAAAGGTTTCATTGACGGTTCTGACACGCGTGGAATGATAAGTAAACGGCTATGTGTATCGCGAGAAAAGGAATATTCGGTCCACACCCCAGAAATTACAAGTGTACGTCGGCGAAATTAGTATTCCAGCGAGGTATTTAATTCCAAAATTCCCCATGGCTTGCGCCACCCCCGTGAATGGCATGACTGCGAAAGGACACCCCATCTCACTACTACGCTGTTTATTTCGCGTCAGTCGTGATATTAACAAGCCATTTGTGGCTCTCCTCGATTTCATCGGCCTTTTCTGGCAATTTCTGACCGTGCTGACGTTTCCACCGCTCCTGTCTCGTTGATACGCGGCCACGGAAATTGTTTTTGTAGCAAAAGCGTCGAGCGAATAGCATCGTTCTACAGTTGCTTGTCGCGGCTCAATTTGGAGGCTTGTTTTTCCACCGGGAGGCATCGCGCTTGTTTTTCCACCGATGTCATACCGATTCCTATCGTCGATGATGGATATACAGAGTGGTCCGTGCAATTGGGATCTGTTCCTTCTTTCGTTGCAATTAGAAAAACATGATAGCGGAGGATGTATTTCTTTTGTGCGAATAATAGCGTGTATGCATTATGGAATTGCGTAATATTTTTTAAATACAATTCAATATTTTCCTTTACATAGATCGAGTCATAAAAATATTGTACGAAACACATGAAAAATACCTTACTATTTAATATCCTACTATTAATGCTTGTGCAATTTTAAATTTTTGTGAATAACTAAAGAAGAAGTGAGAATGATATTCCTCTGAAAAGAATGTTATTATATAATAAAATTACAGGAGATTATCTTTTTCTTCTAATATTTTATTCGAATTGCAATTAAAAAGGAAATGCCTCTTATCCTAGTCGTACAAACTACCATATACTTATAAAAAATGTACTATGTACGAAGGATATTTCGATGCATAGTTTGTTACATCTGATCGATAATGAATTCACTGATTTTAAATGGTTCTAGAGCAACGAAGTGCTGTTATTTCAAAAATAATTTCGTTGGTACATGTTCATGCGCTGATTGAGACATCTTAGGACTAAATCCTTTGATAATGGAACGTTTATTTGAGAAATAAGCAGCTAAAGTAGCGGTCGATCGCCATAATTCTGTGTATCATATCGATTTTCCGTTCAAATTCCAGCGATTTACACGATCCTTCAGCTCGCTTTCTCATTTTTAGAAATTATCTTGTAATGCGTTGTTACGTGCTCCGCAAGGTAGACAGTTTCAATTACGTTAAGCTATGGAGGATCTCTAGAATTACTGGAAAAGTATTTCGAGAAGAACTCTTGAAAAGAACTATAAATTAGAGTTCTTAATAACGAACCGTTGTCGGTTCTTAATTATTCGAGGGGAATAAGGAAATGATCAAAAATTAATACTATCGTGAAAAGGGAAAACAAAATGAATTTTATCGATTACGAAATCGGTCTGGTGCGTGCAGGCCGACTTTACCTGCCCTTTACTATCGTAGAGCGTGGCACACGCCGAAAGAGCTTAATTGAATTTCTCTTAATTAACTGCTTTCGCGGCGCTACGATAATTGCAATGCACGAACTCTCCCATTACCGTAATTGTGGGTCTAATTAATGTAGTCCTGGCGTTCTAGACTCTCAGCAGGCAAGCAGATTAAATTTTTGACGAAACGTTCGAGGATTGTCTCCGGTTTATCGTAAGCTTCTTAAATCACTTTGCGTCGATTTCATAGATATTTCAGGACTTCGCGCTGATCAAATCATAATTTAAGCATTACACGAAACATTCTAAAAGATTCCTAGGGTTCTATTAGTATTCTATTCAAATAATTTTTAATTTAAAAGGGAATGAAGGTAGTCTAGTGGTCTAAAAAAGAAAATTCCTATGAAGAAGATTCCTATGATAACATCATTTATATACATGTATAATTAAACAGATGAAAACTAGATAGAAATTTGTTTTGTCTATTAAATATTATACAGAACACTATAGTTTGAATACTTTTTATACCTTTGAATATTACATGTATTCTGTGTATGTTTGCGTCTTCAAATTTCTCATAAATGTATAAAAATCAACAGCTTATTCATCCAATTTAGCCAGCAGCATTCAAAACCTCCATTTAAGGATTCAGGAGGTGAATAAGTAGGTAAATATGGCTAAATTAATAGTGTGTGCTGTTAGTGGGTAAATGGAATGAGCGAAATGATGAGATATACTAGGACGTGTAAACAGTTTTATCACCAGTACACGGTGACTAGATTCCTGATGCCAAGAAAAAAGTCCGATCATATATTTTGCGGGG